ATGTCACTGAACTGTGCATGTAGAAATTTTTGAAATGGTATATCTTGGGCTATGTATATTTTCACCAAAAAAAAAAAAAGGTCGAGAAGGGAGAGGGTTAACATGTCGTGGGGTTGTTAACCAATGTCATAAAACAATATGTGTACTGACTGTTTAATGAGAAACTATTTGTTCTGTAGACCTTCACCTAACGTACAATAAAAAAAAAAAACTTCACAATTTCCTCCATAAACTCCTCACCACAGTCACACAACAAAGTTGAGAATATTCTCAGGATTTACATTCTTATTTTGTTTATTTTTTTCTGGATGTGCTGATGTTGCTATAATGTTCATTTCCCTGGCTCTGTGTTTAGATGCCAGCTACTTGAGGGAGAGAACACAAACTCATTTATTTTCTGTTTGTGGTATATCGTATCATACTCTGGGTCAACAAATGTTGGCTGATTATATATCTTTGATAGTTTTTGAAACATTTAAAGTTAATAATTTCACCTTCAGTATTTCCTTCTAATGTTACAGCTGCTTTTTGGTACTGCATATAAAGGTTGCTTTTGGTAGTTTGTTTATGACCAACCATGGTTAAGTTGGTTAAGTTAGTTTCCAGGAAACCTCTCCAGAGTTAGGAAATGGAAAGCAATTTACTTTCAATGTGATCTTGGAGCCACATATAATGTGACCTTGGAGTCTTATAAAAATATACAGCGGTATATTATTTCCTACTTGTTTTCCTCACTTTAGAAATAAGATAATTCAGCATAAACTTAATACTACCAAACTATTCCCAATCATTGAACTTCTCTGGTGGAAGTAATCATTTCTTTCTTGATTGAGTTTGAACTTGCTTCATCTGCTTACAAGTATATATATATATATACGTACATATATATATAAATAAGTAACTTTTTAAATTAACCAACTTAATAAAACTAACATTTGTAGCCACACAGAGACCACACCCACAAAACTTTCCCATAATAATCATTCCATTTTAACAACACCTGCTTCTTAGAGCCGAGAGCACTTCAGGTTGTATCACAATGTCTTCAAGGCCTTCTAACTAGCTTAAGTTTGCTCGTTGCATAGGGTTAATGTCTCTGGTTTCTTCAAAATCTTAACACTATGTGGTCTATGGTTTTTGCGAATTCAGCTACCTTTGAGTTGTGAACAAATTATAAAATGCTCTCCTCTGAAAATTTTTCTTTATTCAGAATAGGATTTCACAAAACAATTGTGGTAACAACAGGTGTATAAAGCATTTTACATTGCCTGAAACATTTACACATGCCCTGCACAAAACGAGAAAAATACAAAATGTGAAAAGCAACTCTGGTTGGGAGAAGAGGGGAGAAGGAAAAAACTAGAAATAAATGCTCAGAATATTTCCCATTTTTGATATTTGTAGTGAAGTTTGAAAGTCCAACAATTCTTTAAACAAATAAAGTAAAAAAACAGTTGTTTTTTTTTTTCACGTCCAATGCACATATTTGATCTTGACTGGAAAACTACATAGAAGCTTAAAAAAAAGGAGGGAAAAATAATTTATAATACTGAAGCAAGTGCATTAAAGACAGTAAAGGGCAGATTTTTTAAAAATATAACCTTCTCCTTACATTTGGATGGCAGTGCATACATTTCCCCCAATAATAGTAAAAGCAAAGATGAAACAATTTTTAAAGTTTCATCTATTTATAAATGGACAACTTTGAAAGTAGGAGAAAAACCACACCCTTCTTTTGGTTGGTACCGGTACCACATAGATAATTGTCATGAAGGAAATGAATATGCGCAGAAGGATTGGAAACCCCTTTCCCTTCAGAAATGGTGATTAACTTGTGAGTTTGCATGTCTTTTCATGCAAAGTTTGTCAACAATGATGGACCTGAACATTTTGGAGTGTTTTATTGCCTTTAAAATGAATAATATAAAACTCTTGTCAGTATTGAATATATTTTACCTGTTCAACAAAATTTTAAACTGCGCAAGTGGTGAACTATTTAGCAATTATTTTATGGCTATATTTTGTCTATTGTTGTTCTTATATGGATTGAGACAGTGTTTTTAATTTGTTTTAGTAAAATGGGACCTGGGTAACTGAAACTGAGTAAGTTGGTTAAACAAGTTGCAAGGCATTTACTTGTTTGAATTTTTAATTGAAACATCAGACATTTTGAAAACCTGTAGGCATTTTTTCAAATTTATTTTTTCTACAAGGGTTACTCAGTCTCCAACCTTGTACTATGCCTTTTGCAGTCATATTTAGCCCTTTCTGAGAAGATTCTACTCTATGTATTATATAAATGTTTGCTAAAAATTTGTTCTGATTGTGAGATTCCACTGCTCACATTACCTACAGTCCAGGTCCTCTGGATACCCCAAGAAAAATCTAGAAAATAAAGGATAAAGACAAATAAAAGAATCAAATTTTCTAAATGTTTAAGAAATATATTAATTCTTCAGGTATTCTTTTTAATGTTACTTACTTTAATTCTACATAATATAATTTTATAGATTTGCTGTAGGATATGTTTTATGCTTCTCTAAATTAGTCTCTTTTATTTTTTTTCAGTTACTGGCTGACAAACAAAGTTCCCATCAAAAGGCCAAGCACAGGTCTCCTCATGTACACACTTGCCACAAGATTCTGTGATGAAATTCACCTGTATGGATTCTGGCCATTCCCTAAGGATTTGAATGGAAAAGCCGTCAAATATCATTACTATGACGATTTAAAATATAGGTACTTTTCCAACGCAAGTCCTCACAGAATGCCATTAGAATTCAAAACATTAAATGTGCTACATAATAGAGGAGCTCTAAAACTGACTACAGGAAAGTGTGTAAAGCAATAAAGCACACTGACAAACAGACAAACAAAACTGAATATGCACTTCTTTTCTGAAGATGCTTCCTAAAATTTGAAAACAGGATCCAAACCAAGACTGGGTTTCAGCATCCACCAAGCAACTCTAAGGTTGATGTAAAACGTTTATGAGAAATCCCTTACCAGCTGATGAAATACCTGCAAAGTGCTCTAAAAAATTAAATATTTTGACTTCAAGGGTCCTAGTAAGTGCCACTTCCACTAAGAACACAGCTTGAATGTATAATCAGAAGTGTTTACAAGATCCGGCAATGCAGTCATCGTTTGGTAAAGCAAATATGTTCATCACTGTTGGGCTGTCACTGCAAAGCCAAGCACATTAGAAGAGGAACCCAGGAACACAACTCAGCCAGTGGGGAAATCGAACCATCCTCGTCAGCAGAAATCATGATGGAAACAGTTTGAGCAGTGAAATCCATAAGATCAAACAACTCAAGTAAATGCCTTCTGTCAGGACTCTGAGTCTAATTATGAATTTTATGTTTTTGTTTCTATTTTTGTTTGTCTTCTGGTTTCTCTTTTGGTTTGGGTATTAGGGTGCTTAAAATTTATTTCTCAGATAAATATGAATGAGAAAAATAACCTTAATCATTTTTAAAGCTCTTATTTTTTTTTAAAGAACAATCACACAAAGACTTTTTTTTACAAAGTTTTATTTGCACAACTCTAAACTTCCAGATTTTTTTTTTTTTTTGATGGTGTAGAAGGTACCAGCTAAACTGTACCACTTAGTAGTATTCTAAAAATGTTCCATGCTGAGACAGTAAAATTAGCAGAAAAAATGTACTTTTGGTACCAAAGATTATACTGATGTTTCTACACAACAAACCTTTTGCCGTTCATGAAAATAATATATTATTAACATATTAATATATTATGCTACTAATGTGAAAGTGGTCTCTAAATATTTTAATTTTGCTAATGCAAATTTTGTTTTTATTTGAATGAAGACTTCCACATCTTTTACATTTCCTTATGATTTTGTGAAATCTCTTTGTCCTATAGAATAAATGTTTGATTGGGAGAGCTGAAATATGATTTCCAGTTCTTTAATATTGCCCTTATTATTCAAATGGAAAGATCTGCATGCTCTTTATACCATTGTTAAATTTCTTAGTACAGAAACAATATGATCAGTACAGTGTTGGTTCCATAGCAGAGGTGATAAATGTTAAGAGGTTTAAAAGGAAATTATGTGTCAATATTTTGCACTTCAAAAGAATTAACTTTTCCAGTATTTTTTCTGTAGTTAAATTTACTCACAGTATCATATTAATGTGTTTTTTAAAAAGATTAAATTATTACTAAGATAAAGTGGGTTTTTTAAATGCTAATATATAACAGTTTTGACCAATATGACAGTACTAGTAACTTATCCTATACCGGTAGGTAATTGTGATAACAAATTGTTTCTTTAGAAATAGAAAAGCAGAAGCACTGCATTCCCACTTCTACTCCTGGTGTGAAACAACTTATATGACTTAACTTCTTGTTTCTTAGAGAAAGCAGTCTGAGAAAAGAAGAAATAGCATGGGGAATCTATTTGTTTTTAGGGAAGGCAGCCCGAGAAAAGAAGAAATAGCATGGTATATTTACATACGTATGGAAAAGGATATTCATAGTAGTACAGTTTTCAATAATTTTAATATGTAGTATTATTTTTTAAAATATAGCAGAGCCTTAGGATACAGAAGATTATATTTTCTGAGAATTCTTGTGTCTCTTAGAGAAAAATGCAATGCATAAAAACAAGGCATAGCTAAAAATGGGTAGAACATTGATGTACTTTTATGATTAAAGCATTTATCTATTGGAATTTTTGAAAGAATTCGGTACATGTTTTGAATGTAAATTAAGAAGTCCCATTTACATACTAAATCAAAAGTAGGTGATTTCGAGAACCATGATTTGGACTATTTGCAGATGATAAGTGGATCAAATAGCCCTTAATTTGAATTCAATGGGAGTCTAAAAGTCACAAGTAAATTCTCATGGGTAAAATCCATCTGAGCACTCATTCAAGATATGTCTTAAAAAGCCACAGCCAGGTACCTGGTCATTTTTACTGCTTTCTCAACAAATATATTTAAACAATTTTAAAGGCCACAGCAAAAGCATGCCATGCATCCACTGTTCTGTGCATTGATGTTTATCTATCTCATAGATGCATTGAGTAGTGCCTTTTTAGCTTCTTCACATTGCTTTGTTACCCTATGCTTTGTGTTCTCTAAATACGTTGCCCAGTTGTGAAAGTGTCCAGCATAAAAAAAAGGGCTTCAGTATCGACTGAGACTACTTTTGTTCATCTCAGGGAACTTTCAATACTCTAGAATGAATTCAATTAAAGGCATTTAGTGTTCAGAGAAGACAAACTGTACAAGACCATTTCATTCCCTATTGTATACCTTTCCATCTGCCCTCCCCCTTGATTATCTGCTGTGGCCTTCTTACGGGGACAGGGCAAGGAGGTCACTGAAGGCTACCAGCAAAATTAAGAAAAATAATTGCGTTTTAACCCATAAGGGCGCATAAGGGACCATGACAAAATCAAATCATAAATACATACTTGAAATATCTGGGGTTTTCCCCCCCTTTGGACAATATTATATGCTCATAGCTTTATTTTATTTTTTTCATGATTTAACCCTATACCTGGCAATGCTCAGGCAGCTGATTGTGAAAATATTCCTATATGTTAGAAAACGCGTTGTTACTGTGCTGTTGACATAAATAGGCCATGGAAACATTTTCATCAATATTATCTGGCCTGTTCTATAACTAATATTAAATTGCTCAAATAAAAAAATAAATCAGTAGCATGTTTTATGGGCAAATCTAATGATTCAGCCCACAGGACTGATGAAATTTCTGTGGAAGTTTTTCTATCTAAAAGAAGGTGCTGGGCATTCAACTGTCTTCATATATTGTGTATCATATAAATTGTGTATTGATTACTCATGCAAATTCTACATATATGCTTACAGAAGCAATCTATTTAAATAGTGCTATGGGTAGTGTACATACCAGCTAGTTATTCAGCTACACAGGAAAAAAGGCTGAACAAAGTAATTTATTTCTGATTGAGTCAGTTAGTCATAATGCATATTATGTGGTATTTGGTTCATAAAGAAGTTGTTTTCATGTGGTTATTGTACAGAGTATTATAATTGTGGAAGGGTTGTGGGAAGAGTTATGTATAGTTAGTTGTTATCTCTGCAAGTTTGAAAGTTTCCCTATCAACCATTATCCATATACCAATATTTTAAAAGTTGAGTGAGGATTATTGTTCGTATTTGAAGAAAGTCCAAATAAAGCCCACTTAGAAATAGATATTTTATTATATATGTGCTATAGATATATCTATATAGTACAAATAGACATGTGTGATGCATATACACAATGCTATATATGTGTATCTGTGTGTATACACACAGGGTCTGTAATATACACTGTTATACTAACATCTTCAGGGTCTGCACTGTGATATCACTCTGGAGATAATCCCATTTTAGAGTAAAGAAGTTCTTTTGAGCCTTTAGACACTAAACTGCTTTAAAAGGGATCTCCTTTATAATTGAATTCTATGTTGTTCATAGCTAGAGTTACAATAAGGGTCTAGTATATCCAAAACTTTACAAAAAAAAAAAAAATGTCTTGAAGCTGGTAATGTATTTGAATTGCAGTTTTCTTCAGATTGTGACTTTAGGCCTCCTTGTGTCTCTCACTTAAGTAGCACTTTTTAATAACTACTGTTTCTTTGTGTAGGCAAAAGCACAAGTGCTTCAAATGTATATAGCAGGAAAAAAAAAGTTTACAGATATAGCTTGCTGCACAGGAGAACTGCTACTGAGTATTTCTTATACAATTTGTGGAGTTGAAAGATGAGGTTTATTCTGTCAGGTTCATTCTGTTCAACACTGTTACCCTATTGTTTGTGTACAGCAATTGGTTATTATTGTTTTATCATTTGTAAAAGAGTAAAATAAATTAAATCCCTTTTTTTTGCAATTTTTCTTTTATCTCTTCTATCCAAGCCTACGATTCCACTTTATGTGTAAATACCAGGTGCAAGTTTTGCTAATGCTTATGTCTTCCCCTACCCTCATTCCCTCCATACCTCAGCAAACAGTTTCTTTTAAAGTGTGTACATGGAAATGTGAACAATATTGAAAGACCCATGAACATCAGGGAGTCTTTAACAACTTTGTGAGTGTTGCATTCTGTGGTTGAGGGGATGGAGTGGTACAGACATTGTGGTCATTTATATCCAATTGATATTCCTACTGGCTGCTGTCCGTGGGTCACTCCAGCTTCACGGCTGAGAGTGAAGCTGAGAGGCCGACAATTCCTTAGACAATGCACACTCCCACAGCTGCCCTTTGACTTGTGATTTCCACTGCTGTTTGCTCCACTTGCTACTATTTGCAGTTTGCCTTCCAGGAGATGATTCTGAAAAACTGCATGTTTCAGTCTGTTGCCATGACTTTCTATAACTGGCAAGTTTCTGTTTTTAGACCCTGCACTGTTCACTGTAGAAATGTTTAGCAGTAATTTTCATGAGGTCACTTTTAGCATTGTTCGATTTTTAAACATTTTCTGGAGACCTAGAATGAGCCATTAACACTGGTTAATGAATATAGACTTTCATATTTGCATTTTATTTTCAAAGATCCTTTTACTTTCAAAGAACCCTATATGATGAGTCATTTCTACCCGTTACTGGGATATAATCAGACCTCATCATGCAGAGCTACCACTTTTCGATTTAGGGAAGAGCTTTCTGGCCTTTGGTATGAGTTTTGTTGACTTTGAATCAGTTTTCTAAAAGACAAAGGTTAAAAAAAAAAAGCTTTGCTCCTAATTTCAATTATTATTTAAAATGTTGATTATTTTTAAATAGATCAAAGGATATTCTTGCTTGATATGTAGCTAGATCTGCTAAAATTGTTCTCTTAATCTTATTATTTTATATTACAGTAAAATCCTTTTCAAAATGTGTTCTGAGAAACACTGTTGTTCAAGGTGCTTTGCAAATGAATGACTTGTGCTGACATATTCCATAACACTCTCAGGATTCACAAGGCATTATAGCGTACAGAAAACTCTGAGAGGTCTGGCAATAAAGAAAACAATTTAAATTTTCTCATCAAGACTTCTCAAATGTATTAGATTATTTCACCGTCAATATATAAGGAACATATTTTAAGAAATGCCAGAATAAACTTTTTTTTAAAACAACCTCTCCACAGAATTAAAATCTGCATATCTATAATGTACTCTCCAAAAAAAAACCAAACTCATTGCCGTTGAGTCAATTCCTACTGTTAGCAACCCTATAGACAGAGTAGAACTGCGCCATAGAGTTTCGGAGGCTGTGAATATTTGTGGAAGCAGGCTGACACATCTTTCTCCCATGTGGCAGCTGGTGGGTTCAAAACGCTGACCTTTCAGTTGGCAGCCACGGTGCCACCAGTGCTCCTCTATAATGTACTACATAGTTTATAATATAAATATAAATTACACTATTCCCAGATTTTCATAGATTATGCACTACAATTTAAAATACAGGCATCAAAATGACTGATTCATTCTGATTTGGCAGGGCTTCTTCCAGACAGTTTATTGAGATTTATATTTTTCTAAGTTTTTCTAGGGTCCCTGGTGGCGCAGTGGTTAAGATCTCGGCTGCAAACCAAATGTCGGCAGTTCAAATCCACCAGCTGCTCCTTGGAAACCTTATGGGGAAGTTCTACTCTGTCTTATAGGGTAGCTGTGAGTCGGAATTGACTCAATGGCAATGGGTTTTAAGTTTTTCTAAGCTTTATTAGGCTGTGAATAATTGAATCGAACTAACCCAATTCACAAGGGCTTATACTGTTAGTGCAAGATAGATTAAATATACCTGCATAGTAACCAGAAAATTTATGGACCCAATGTAAATCTCACTAGTCTTATTTTGACAAAATTTGTATTGTCTTTAGGCCAAACAGTATTCTAAATGCTTTATAAATATCAACTGATTTAATCCTAATAACATACCTTTGAGTTGGGTACGGTAAATATACCAGTTTTACAGATGAGATAAAACACAATGAGGTTAAGTGATTTACTCTAGGTCACACAGCTCAGAAATGAGACAATCAGGATTTGAACCCAAGTCATCTAACTTTATAGCCCATCCTCCTAGCCACTACATTTTGATGCTGCCTTTTCTTACTGGCAACAAATCACCTGGGAAACTAAGTTTGCAAACAGATGATTATTTAATGAGCCCAGATGTCAAGTATAGATAAGTACATAACCAGTTGCCTTCCAGTCAATCCTAAATATAACCAACAATCACTTACCAAAACTGATGGTTATTTTATTCAGTATTTTCTCTTCTCATAGATTAAAATATTTTGTTAATAATATTTTCAAATATGAGAAATATTTAAACTGATAATTTTACTTATTTTCTAAAAATTGTCTATGAATTTTTAACTAAACGATTGCTATCTCTTCAAAAATATTAATCCTACCACAGCTACATTCATAACAGCAATCCCAAATCTAAACTTTATTGCTGATGCTAGGCAATACGTACATATCTGTTAACTTTAAGGCATTACAGCACAGGAAGAAAAAAAAAAACTTTTTTCAGTGAAATATTAATTTGCATTTTCTAAAACATCAGGATATTGTAGAAAGCACGCCCTCCATTGTCCTTCTAGCTCCAGCTTCCTCAGCTCCCAACACCACACAGATGGGCTGACTAAGGGCACATCCGCCAGTGTTGCCTAAATGTAAACACACTCAGCTGGTAGCAGATGTTTTCCCAGGAAAGATCGCTATCACTGGAGTTATTCTTTATGGATTCTATGTTAGTTGATCTCCATGGATGGGCACAAGGTCACTCTGTTGAAATAGATCATTTGTCTTTCAGGTATACAACAAAAACAGGGTGGCTGCAGGCTCAACTATATGATATTTGCCGTATACCATCCAGAAGTGTTGCTAAAGACTCACCTAGTAAGCCAGGATTTTTCTTTCTTCTTCTTTTTTTTTTTTAATGGACCTTTGTTCAAGATTGGAGTCCTGGTGGCACAGTGGTTAAGAGCTATGGCTGCTAACCAAAAAGGTCAGCAGTTCAAATCCACCAACCACTCCTTGGAAACCTTATGGGGCAGTTCTATTCTGTCCTGTAGGATCGCTATGAGTCAGAATTGACTCCACAGTAATGAGGTTTTTTTTGTTTGTTTTGGTATTTGAGATTAAGACCTTATTCACTGAGCAATTCAAAGGTAGACTATAAAGCTTACTAAAAGAAAAATGGAGCCCTGGTGGCACAGTCGTTAAGAGCTCAGCTGCTAACCAAAAGGTTGGCAGTTCGAATCCAAAAATAAGTATCCTTTTTGCTTTTCTATGGTCATTGATGTCATTCAAATTAACAATCTTGTGAACTCTTCTAATAATTGTCTACATTCAGTTCTGCATTTTATCAAAATGCTAAGCATTCATTAGTGGGCTAATTTTATTTAATTCTCTAGGTCATGAAGACATGGCTTTGATATGTAAATTTATAAACTTATTTAATTTGTATCTATTTGCAAATCTTGATAGCATGTAAAAATCTATAAATACCCACCTTAGGAAAGGGTTACACTTCTCCAACAAGCATTTATAGAGTACAACTACTAGGCATTTTTTTAAACATGATATGTACCTTGCCTCATGTTACCAACACTTAGCTAGAAGAGACATACAAAAAAACTAAATAATCACATCAGATGGCAATAAGTTCTGTATTCAGGGAGGTGAGGAAGCATGGAGAAAACCCATGGATGGGGACACAAATCTCAGCCTGTAGCTATGAAGACTCAAGAAAACATCTGACCGGTGGCTATTGAACTGAATGTTAAAAGATATCTTTAGTTCAATCAAACAACCATTTATGGACTGAATGCCTATAATGTGCACCTACCAAGAGCTAGCAATTTTTACATCTGTGCAGCTTTATTTCAGTTGTTGGAATGGCAAGCATCATAGGAACTCTGATAATGTATGAGTATAGCAGTTGATTAGACTGGATATGCAACAGAAAGTTCCAGAATTCCAGGAGAGATCTGATACTAGTGGAAGAACTCCACTCTTTCTGCATAAACTGCCCTGGGCGCATCCTCTGCAACCTTCAAATTTCCTAAGCAGAGGACACAAGCCAAACTGAGCATCGTTTGTAGTTAGGTAGCAAAATCAAGACAAGCGATACTACATTAACACAGAAGACCCAGAAAACAGAAACTAGCTGTGTTTTCGTTTTACTTTAGTAACCTAACAGTAGATCAAAGAAATAAAATATTTTTAAAAAAAATTGAAATACTCAACAATCCTTGCTTTGGAAATTACACAATTCCCACCCCTCATCCCGACCAGATTTCCGCAGAAATATTGTTGAGTTACAAGTTTAAATAAAAATTGAAGTCCACCCTGAACTTACCAACATGATCAAGAAAGTGCAGAGCTACTGAAATGGCCCATTATACAATACCCTCCACCTCCATATATCACTGCTTTAGTATCTACTTGCTGTTTCTAGGTTGAAAGGATGCACCATAAAAGAAAATGTCTGTGCTTGACTTATTTTTGATTTTGAGATGATTCCAGAATTTGAAAATCTACCTTCT